CATTTCTTCTTTAATTTCAGCCTGGAGAGTATTCAAGCCATTTCCATATTCATTACAAAGGGGAGACTAGGGCTGCTTACAAATACTTCCTTCAGGGGACATACATCTCACAGCATCCTCTCTTGTGCTAAGTGGTCACATGAGATAAGTCTTACTTAATATGTTAGTGTAGAAAATTAAAGAGCTTTATTTTGCAATTTTTATTGCAAAGGCTGAGTCTATTTTAGCTTGTTAGCCTTTTCTTTCTCTTTGTAATTGCAAATACTTTGATTTTATGGGAACTGGGTATTTTCTTTTAACTCTGAGAAGAATTGGAAGTTGTTTTCACTAAGATTGCTGTTTTCATTTAGTTCTTTTAAATATTTATTGCCCTTTAGAGGGAGAACATGTGTTAATAAATTTCATGTGGCCAAACTTATGAGTTGGTCACATTGCTGACCCACCCCTCCATTGTTTTTTATACTAAAGTTCTTCTTCATTATCGGCAGTAATTTAGTCCCTTTTATACCATTTTGCATCTCATTTCTTATCTGTTCTTCCTTATTACTCCCTTTTTGCTTTTGAGTTGGTTCTATTTTTATGAGTAGCAATCACCCCCTGCCCTCTTGTGGAAGGTATTTCATTGCAATCAAATGAAGATCACCTGTATCTTTTTCATATGCACGTTTCATACACAGGAGTTTCGTTACATCTACAGAGATCCTCTCTCTGCACAGCTGGAATAGGCACCTGACCCCATGGGCTTCCTGCTGGGATTCGGTGGGAAGATGCAGGTAGCACTCCTGGCCCACGTGCATGGTGGGAACTCATGAAGGGAGCGGTGATGACGCTCTAACCTTGGTTGTTACTCACTCCATCGCTCCTGGCGTTATGTCCAGTGTCCTAAGCACATTTGTACACACTTATGTTTTTACAGGATGAAACTATAACCTTTGGATACCACTTCTTTCACTGCTCCTAAAAAAGTATCTTTTTATTATTTATTTCCTGGTCTTTGTCAATCTTGAATTAGAGACTCATTGTGATAGTTATTTTAGTTCTTTTGATGAAAATTTTATGTTAGATTTTCATTCATTTCATTTAATGAATTTGATTTGCAACCATTTATTCACCTGATTATTCTTTTCTTATAGAAACTGTAAATTTATTAGTTTTTTTCAATTAAACTGTCCACATTTGTGAAAACACAAAATGAAGAGAAAAGGTAGAATATCTTCTCACTTGGACCTTAGATAACGGCAAGTGTAGACTACACAGAAACAAATGCATGTATGTTATAATTTTCTCAGGGATAAATACTCTGAGGAAATATGGCAGAATATCAGGAGAGGGGCAGGATTTTATGGAGAGTATTATAGATCAGGGGCAATTCAGTTCCGGAATAATTCCAAGTTGTAATAGTACTCTTACCATGCCATTGAAAGTATTTGCTTTAATTTCATTGAAGTTTGTGCCTCTACATTCATCTAGAACAATGGCCTGTAATTATTTTTAGTACTTATCTGGCTAAACTGAGCTTATTATAATACAGACTCCTGACGCTAACCAAGAGAGAGAAATGAGGAGGGACACACTTTGGTCCACAGGATACCTTTTAAAGTAGAATAATGCATGATTCTACAGGCATGAGATTTCTAAAATTGTCACACTCATACACAGAATAGAACATTGGTATCAGGCCAGGGGATCAGGGGAAATGTGGGTCGTGTGTTTTGCGGTTGGAAAGTTAATTATATATGGTGATTAATTTCCAGACACCGGCTACACCATGAAGTACCAGGACTAACGATATAATATTGTGCATATGAAAATGTTCTGGTAGAGTAGACCTTAGGATAAATGGTCTTGCCAAAGAAAAAAATCAAGAAAACAAGAAACAATAGGGACCCAGGGACACTCTTGGAGGAGATGCTTACATCTATGTGTTGAAGGGACAGCCAGAGTTCACAGGTGTCTAAACTCATCTCTCGTCCACATAAAGTATGTGCACCTCCTCGGGGGTCAGCCACCTCAGGAAAGCCACCTCTAGCAACTGTCAGGAGACAGCAGGGGAACAAAGGCCCCTCCTGAGAATCTCCACATCTTCACAGAAGCCAGGAGGCAGCTCCTTCCCTGTGGCTTCCTTTGAAATGAGAATGTGCACAGTAGGCACTGTCCTCAGGATTCTGCACCCTCACCTCTCCTGCCAGGCCCAGGTCTCTGCAGACCACCTGAGGGTGCCCTCCTCTCTTGCAGGCCTCTGCCCAAGTGTCACCTTTGACCCATTTACCTGGACCCCCTGAAGAACAGCCTCTCTATCTCCTTCCCTTCAGATCTGTCCTAGTTGGATTCATATTGATTATACCATGTGACATTATGAGGACAAATTATGAAGAGGTTTCTTGTTAATTTTTACCATTACATATCACTGACACATATGCATGTTGTGCCTTGTGATGTGTTTATCTAGGTACACTCTGGTATTTAAATATAGCTCCTCAAAAGGTATCATCATTTTATGGAGAAAGCTTTAGAAACCCTATTATACAGCTGCTTTTTTTTTTAAAAAAAATTATAGTTGCAGTTGGACACATACCTTTATTTATTTATTTTTATGTGGTCCTGAGGATCAAAACCAGGGCCTTATATGTGCTAGGTGAGTGCTCTACCACCGAGCCACAACCCTAGCCCCAAGAGCTGCTGTTTTTAATAATGGTCTACATACATTTGTTCTCCATAATGAAAACTTAGGGTCTTCTATTTTCAGCAGCCTGTGCCCATTGCAGAGCCAGGGCCAGGAACAGGATCGGAACTCAAGGCCCCTTCATCAAGGACATAGAAGGATTGTTCATTGGTAGAATACAAACCATGCTGAGGAAAAGGTAGAGAAGGACTGAAACTTCTAAATAGAAATAAATCAGCTTATCAGGGAACAAGTCTACTAAGTAGGAATGGCACTGGGGTCACCCTAAAAGGGATTAGTTTAAAAAACTACTCATGTTCAATTTTTTCTCTTCACAGCACATGGATTCAAAGAATTTCACACAAATTTCTGAATTTCTTCTTCTGGGACTTTCAAAGGACCCAGAAATTCAACACCTTATCTTTGGCCTTTTTCTGTCCATGTACCTGGCCAACATGCTGGGGAACCTGCTCATCATCCTGGCCACCATCTCAGCCTCCCACCTGCACACGCCCATGTACTTCTTCCTCTCCAACCTGTCCTTTGTGGACATCTGCTTCACCTCCACCACTGTGCCAAAGATGCTGGTGAACATCCAGACACAGAGCAAGGCCACAACATATGCAGGCTGCATCGTGCAGATTTACTTTTTTACATTGTTTGTAGGGTTGGAGAACTTTCTCTTGGCTGTGATGGCCTATGACCGGTATGTAGCCGTCTGTCACCCGCTGCACTACACGGTCATCATGAACCCCAGGCTCTGTGGACTGCTGGTTTGGGTTTCCTGGATCACAAGTGCTCTCAATTCCTTGTTACAAAGTTTAATGACGTTGCGACTGTCCTTCTGCACAGATGTGGAAATACCACACTTTTTTTGTGAACCTAATCAGTTGGTTTATCTTGCCTGTTCTGACACTTTCTTGAATAATATGGTGCTCTATCTTGTGGCAGGGCTGCTGGGAGGTGGCCCCCTCACTGGCAT